TTCCTCGTCATGGTGTATGCTACCGTTTCTTGGTCGCCCGCGCGGACTGTATATTATCATCGTCATCGCTATCGTCTTGTCTCGCATTCCGATTGCTTTCTTGTTGCTTTCCCGATTACTCGGACGTTAGCTTAATATGGCATAATTATGACCGAGCGGTCATTGTAATATTCAAGCACCTAGTGCTATTATACCCAACCTCTACACTCGTTGAATATGATTGTCTCTTCGGCCCCAGTGATTACCGTGCCCTCGCTCTAAGAGGGGAGGATGTAAGGGGAAGCGCCCATGTGGCGCGTGTTTGAGTATGTTTGGTCGCGACGCGACTTAGAAGGAAGTTTGGATATACGTAGCTTAGCAGACAACTACTACCTTCTACTCTAAGGAATACTCCTGTACTCGTGTATCTGTTCGCAATACGACGAGGGTTCACTTAGCCCCGGTGTGTGATAGCTACATACTGTACTGACGTTTTCCTACATCATCTGCCCACTGATCCTTGACCACGAGAAACTCTTTCTCTCCGCTGCCCACCTTCTTCGCGATCCACACGCGAGTGCCTCGGCCCACGATAGATTTACTACAAAATATGGGGCGTCCCAAAGTGAGAACGGTATGGAAAGCGCCCGCGTCCTCCTTCGACCGTATAGTCATCCGGCTGCTTTCGCTGAGCAGCGTCAAGCCTCCGCGCAGGCCTTTGTACGGCCCTTCAAAAAGACCGAGCCTCAATGCCTCCTGATACGACCGTTCCACCAAGGTACGTTCGGCGGGGTCCACGACGGGCATGCATGCGGAGGTGTCTAGCCCACTGTTGGCATAATTGGCAAGTCCGATAATGAACTCCACCAGTGGCTTCGGGTCGTCTTTGTATCGAATGCAGTGGGAAACCATGACGGAAGATCTGTCCCATCGAAAAAGCCGAGCCACGTCACCGAAGATACCGATCGCGAGAAGGAATGTACGTGGCACGTTGCGAAAAGCGATTGCGGCATATTCTTGAATTTGGTTCCATGTATCCACCTGCTCCTCGGTTCTCTGCGAAGCCTCGTTAGCAGTCAGGTCCTCCTGGTAGAAGGGATCGGCCTTCTCCGACGCCTTCACTTCGACAAATCCTAGCCCACAGCCCCAGTAGTCGTCCACTAGTTCCTCCTGAGTTCTCGGAGGCTTGGGGCGCCTCGATTCCTTCTCTTTCCCTTTGCCCTTCGCTTCGCCTTTCGTCTTCACCTTTCCTGACATTTTCTTCGAGTTGACCACACTCTCGCCCTCGTCGTCGGACTCAGACAGCCTCCGTAATATGCAAATATCGGGCGTGGATCGATACCCACCTTGCATTTCTGCAGGTCGAGTATCGGCAATGTTGCGGAATTCGATGGGCAACACACTCTTTGGAACTGCTTTGTTGGTAATAGAAGTAAAGCACTCAACCTATGATAGCGGTCGATATAGGTGCAGATGGAACCCAAGCATGACTTACCAGTGGGTCGTACATAGACCTCTCACACAGTTTACCGGATGATCGCAAGCCCGGCCTGACACCGTTGAGCATATCCTGGAAAGACTTCTTCATGACCGACTTCATGGCGGCAAAGCGGTGCCCAGGGAAACAGCCCTCGTATAGAAAGTACTTTAGTGGAAGAGGGCCGTACAGATGATCGCTCCCTTCTATTCCTGCGATGCGGCGGTGCTCGGACTGATTGAGAGGTACGTTTGCATGCATCATTCGAGATTGAAGATAACCATTGCCCCCAGAGGCAATAGAAGCAGATGTTGCGGGTTTATCAACCCGATTATAGTGGCGAATAGCGTTTCGACCAGCGGGGTCAGATTCGTATTTGACAGCAGGGACATCAGCACGGTCAGTGCGAGGAGTTTTGTCATCACCGCGAGCGTTAGGGGCCGGAGTTGGTCCACGGGCAAGCAGAGACGTTTCAGCAGCAGCAGGGGGACCCATGTCGCCCGGTGTAATTTGACGAGAGCCCATAGCAAGGAGAGCAATATCGTGAGTCGCAAGTAGGAGAGAATGTGGCAAGACTTACGTCCGGACGATGTTGAACCACACGCTTAAATGTTCCCATAGTTTGCTTTATGGTGGTACTATTTGGCTACGGTTTAAATCCTTGTTTGTACACTGATGTGGCTCGTTGGACCTGGTGGCGAAGGAACAAGGGAGTTACCAAATTTAGCACGCATTGCGACTTAGTCACGCCCTGTAAGTCACAGCATGACAGGGACGAACTGTCACGCAGGTGAGAGTGTCCTAGCAGCGTCCTACTAGCTATCATATTGTTGTATAGTCATTCCTCGCCGCAATATCTAGTTGACTGCAATATATAAGGGGTATGGACAAAGGCATAATCTCCCCCCGAATATTTCACACGCATTAAATAAGTTGCTCAGCAAGGGAAAAAAAACAGACGGATAGAGCAGGCACCCATTGTGTATTTCCCGTAGAAGGGTCATGATCAGAGGATACACAAGGAGGGAACATAAGCATGCAGTCTAGAAAGGTCGTCGGTGTGAAGAATATGATACTCAGTGAGCAAGCGGCTGTTTGAACTACATGGTTCAGATGAATTGTAAGGATCCGTACAACCTGGGACTGGAACATAGATCTGCTAATTAGGGTAAGACAACAGTAATTATATCCAATGGACGCGATTATGCACGAGAAAGGCATGGGAATAATTCATCCAGTCTTGAGTGGGCTTACTGAACCCTGGACTACTCTACGTGTAGCCGAATGCTGGATATAGGAAGATCGCCCAAGAAGCCGCGGGGAAAAAGAGTAAAGCTGGGGAGGCACTGTAAGTAAGGATGGACTTAATGCATTGTTGGCTCTTGGATCCACGTCCAAATTGGCAGAAACGGCAGAAACGGCAGAAACGGGACCAATGACGCGAATGAAGAAGTCAGGAGCTTGGTGAGTCCCCCTCCGAGGCAGCCATCTATGCCACGAGCCTCTTGATTTGATAAGTTGAGAAGGGCGCCGAAAGCGGAAAAGTTGAATCAGTTCTTCCTTCTCTCGGCCTCGCTATGGTCGTTCTGATAATATACTTTACCTCTGCCTGTTGTATCCACCTGACGTTACCGTCTTCATGAGTTTTGAATTCGGAATTGCCGCAACATCCATGGAGAGTCGCTCGGCCATGGGCATGGTCTAGGGGCAGCGGAAGCCAAAACAAGCAGATTTGAAGCCAGGAGAATTGATATGTGTCCAAGGTGATTGAAGCCCGCGGTGCTCACGTCATTTAAACCACGGCAGAGATGAGCGAGCGACTCTAACGAAGCCTGCACAGAGTAACATGAAATAAGAGGGCGAGGGACAATCCCAAGACTATTCGGAGCGTAACGGGATTCTGGGGGGTGTACGGCGATTAGCGAACGACACTTTGCATCCAAGCAGCGTGTACTTGGCGTGGTGAGCAAGTGCCACCTGATCGAGAATAGGCCATAATGCGTCCACCATCGATAGGTACACCCGGCGAGACGATTCCATCAGCAGAGAACCCAAGCTTGAGACGCACGGAGTGTCACCTTCGCTTCCGGCCAGTAAATAGAACGCAACAAACGCGAAGTGTGAGACCCACTTGACCGTAAATTTCCGGCTTCTGTTAGACATGCGATGCAGGAAGACAACCAGGAGTATAATGTGAGAAATGTATACTATCTTGCTCTAAGTGATGGAAGGCTCAGCAGGCTTCGCGTAGGAAAGCCAGAGTGGACAACGATTTGGCTGGGACAGTCGAAGTCCACACCTGGGGTTGGTTCTCTCGCCTGCTCATGCCGCGAAATGCATCAGCTCGTATGACAAGTTATTGTGGGTCGGTCAGGATCAGAAAACGAGCATTGACCAGCAGCAGTCCCGAACACTATCTCAGATTAACAAAATCGTCAAGTTCGACATGCTCCATTGGCTTCGCCCGGTCCACAGGTCGAAACCGAATCTTCCGAGCAGAAGCTGCCGCTACCAGCACATCACATGCAGCATCCCGTACAAGATACTACATATAATGAGCAGGGAGCACCTGCAACCGACGGAGGCCCGAGGGCCACCGGCGGATTCCTTCGCCGGCCTCGCCATCGAGATGGGCGAGCCCCGCGCGACGACTTCGAGCGCGAAATCTACACCGAAGTCCTCGCGCGCGCCTACGCCCAAATCCTCGCCCGGGAGAACCTCGAGTCCGACCTGGAAGAACGAGGCATCGAGCTCTCGCACATCGAAGGTGACGGCGCGCTCAAGCCGCGCATGGGCAACATGTGGGCGCTCGAGCACGACGCCTACCAGGCGGTGTACGCAAACGCATTTGCCCAGTTCCTGGCTCAGGAGGCGTTCGAGGAGGAGGAGGCGGAGGGATTCAGACGAGGAGGACCGGCTGGTGGACCACATGGACCAGGACTGGAAGGACCAGATTCGGCGTCCGCGACGCGTCGTCGAAGAGGTCGAGTTCGCCGATGGGTCGGCTATGGACATCTCGTTCCATGGAACGGTAGACCCTATGGAGTGCGAGGTGGCCGAGGGTCCTGCTGGCATGCCGGTGTCGATTCTCGCAGGACTTGACCACGTCGACGAGGAGCCGATGGATGTCGACTTACCCCATGAAGCTGACGACGTCGGTGACATCGACATCCACGACGCGTCGATGACGTCGATGGCCCCTTTCGACTTTGCCCAGCCTGCCCATCCCTTACACGGTATACTCGGCGCATTTGGCAACATCAGCCTGTGGTCAAACGACGAAGTGGACGCGCACCTTGACTGATGAGGCGGTGCGAGGATCGTCGAGGGTGTAAGATATGATATGGACGTACTTGTGTTGCGCGCTGCTGCTCCTGGCTTGTTCTTTCACGTCATACTCATGTTCTGGGATGTATAGAGTTGTTCGGGCATGTTTCTCTTCAGGTCATGTATGAGGCTGATACAAATAGTTTGCTCTATCATGGTGTAAATATGAGTGTCAGTAGTACGCACCCCAAACACCAATGGAACGTACTTGCTTCGTTTGCGGCGGATGGACCAGGAGGTATCCGCCTCGTGTCAAAGAGCAGCGGACGTCCCAACGACTCTCGACGTTCGAACCTCTCTCCGCTCTGTATATAGCCAACTTCACAGGTTATGTCGGGATAGATAATGTCCGGAGTTGCGCACCGCGTACCGGCGTTGCAGTGATGGCGTCTACCACGGGAAAAAATCCATACCATAGTCCTTCCCTGCGCACCCGTGTTTTATAGAGGGAGACCGGAACCACGTGGTGGGAGCGAGCACCCGGCTTTGCAAGAGATGGCAATCAGTCACATGGCCCAGTGAATAGAACTGAGATATCGGTAAGCGATCGATGTGCTTCGCGTGGTCCTGAGATTCGCCGTGTAACACGAATGTGAAGATTTGCCCAGCTTTGTACGGACTGGACTGTCAGAGTGGACACTTGCCAGGGATCATCACTCCGTCGTGAACATCGCGGCAACACTATGCACATCACTCTGAGTACTCTGGGGACTGAGGCGACGAACCGCGTGACAAAGAGCAAGGCCCGGGTAGATCTCGGGTGAGGCGAGATCGTGACGAATTTAGTCTTAAACGGACGAACGGTCAAACGATACAAGAAAGTCCAAGGAAGGAGCACTCGCCATGCACCGTCAGATATTTCAACGTGGTGACGTTAGCGGGCAGACACAACACTCACTCACACATCCCACCGCTTGGGGGAGCAAATTGACGAACATCCAGCAAAGGGGAGTCGAAGAGCAAGCTAGCCAAGGGAAGAGAATATCGACACCCCATCGAGGGTGGAGGCTGCGCATACTATAACATGGATCATTCATGAAAGACTATTGGGCGGTACTTCAATGGCATCACCAATATTGGTCCGTCGTGGACGCGATGACAATATCGAAGATTTCTGTAAACTTGAGGCAACGAACCACATAGTCTGTGGAAGGTGTTCTGAGCCGATGCGGGGCCGGGAGGGGATAATCGGGCACGATTGAGGATCGTGAGCGGTGCGAGACTGTATGATAGAGTACCGGTCAAAAACGAACGAACGTTATATTCGGCCACAGCCACAGCCACCCTTACGCGTGACTGCGGCTTGTCTCTTCCTGCTCCAAACCTACTCTGCTCTCCACGAAGGTCCTCGTCCTCGTCATTGGGGAGTCAGTGTGCCACCGCGAAAGGACAGGTAAAGGAACCGTTCATCGAGCGCCCACCCTACTGCCACCCTGATTACACTTAATGCTTGTAACATGCTATGTATTGTACACGGTCCGTGATACCTCGAATATATTGCTCAGGCTGCTCCGACGCTCGGAGCAGTCGTGTACTCGTATTCCCTGGCCTGCTTGCGCCTACTGTGGAGCAGAAGAGTTTGATGAAGTGTAGTCTACAATGCAAAATATAACTCCCACGACTTCTCGGCACAAAAGGTTCTCACGGGGTACAACGTTCGGCATATTTTGCGCGTAAGGACTCAATAAGGACTCGACCTTCGTACCTCAGGACTCGTAATATCTAGTTAGTCGCCGTTCGACTCAAAGACGAGCACTACGACTACGTATGCAGCGCTCGCGAGGGGCACTCTAAGCTTTGACTGCACCGGCCGCCCTGGTGTCGTCCTTCCGTGATTTCGGCAGGACCGCTCGATAAGCGGTTGTCGTCGCTGGGTAGTCCAGCCGACTCGCCGTCCGCCGTTGCATTCTTTCTGACTGTGCTTTCGCTGACCCGTACGTGTCGAGGCAAGTACGTCCCAGCGTGCCACTCCTGCTTCACGAGGCCCGTGCCGCCATCCCTCCTCTCTGACCCGTGCCTGATGTGGTGTCACGCTTATCTTCGCGCGGCCTCCCTCTTCCCAAACCTGCTCCTCGAAAACTGCAGTACATGGCAGTCGGGACTCAAAAATCTATCTGGCAGCAATACGGTCCGGAGGCAGATGACTATGGATTGGGACGGCGATGTCGATGGCAGCCTCGCTCCCTCGTCGATCGCGTATTATCAGAGTGCATGGAGAAGCTGCCAGAGACATATTCGATGCGCTGCATGTCTTTCTTCGACCTATGGCATCCTCCGTGTATACCCAGGTCCTGCTCTCCGTTACGGTTCGCTCAGCTCAGCTTCCTTTGGAGATACGTTACTTTGAATTTGACATCGTCTTGGCCCCTCGGTACCACATCGTACGTCTGATGTTTCTGTGTCTCAGTGCCCCAAAGACGCAACAAAGTTCCTCTTCGTTGTCTATCTCAACTGAACAGCGGGTCCATTACTGATTTCCCTGCCGATCGACACGGGATGTCAGTCGTTGTCTCTGCGGCAAGCCTAGGCGTCTGGGTGCCAACAGGGCTACCAACTCGTCGGCCGACTCAAGGAGGGGTACTACGCTGCGGCAGAGCTCGACAGGCTACTTGGCCTACCGCGTTCGTCATCTTGGGCGTGCCTTCGTCCGCACCGACCGCCCTCGCCTCGTCCGGTCTCTCTGCGTTGGGCATGACCACTCGCATGGGCGGTTGTACGCCTCTCGCTAGATAGGTCCAAGCTCAACCGAACTCGTCGCCTACTAGTATCTCCTTCTGACCGGGCTTTTACTGCGCCATCCGCACTTATGTCTCATGCTAGTGAGTACATCCAAGTGTCCAGCTCCCGTCCAGCATACTTCAACATTCTCCGTGCCTAGTGACTTCTTTCTGGCCGCGTTCTCTCCCTTTCCACCCCCCTCCTCTGTCGTCATGCTCGTCTGTCATCCGCTCGGTCTTCGGGAACTACTGCGCGCAGTACGTGTGCTGTGGACTAGGACACGACGGCCACAGCCACGGCTGCCTCACCTGCTCTCTGTTGGGAGCCATCAGCGCTTTTGCGCGACGGACGGATATGATATAACTTCGGTGCGCTGTTTCTTTCCACATTCTCCATGGCTCCAAGTGCCCCGGGGCCATCCGCCCCTCACGTGAATATGGGTTTAATCTTGTCTCCTCCTGGTCTGCGAGTCCTGTGCACACATCAAGGTTCCCGCTTCATCCGCATGGAGGATCTGTTATAGATCTTCCTACCCATCTATGTAGACCGGGCGTCCCTCCGGTAGCGTGAGCGAATCGGCAGCCGAGTCAAACAGGAGTCCTACGCTACGTCGATCACCGGTCTGGTCCTCCTGGGTACCTAGATGGCAACACCAGAAGAGGAAGACGATATGTGAGAGCCGGTGAAAGGGTACCATAGATTTAGAATGTCAGCGTATGCGAATAAGTGAGACACAATGTATACAGCAATTTTGAAAATTTCAGTCGATGCATGTTTGCATGGTTTTCTCTGCCGATGGCGTATGCATGTCAATTTGCGCTTGCGCTCCTAGATAGCAACTTTGTTTAGCGTGCGAGAGTGCCCGTGCAACTGCCGAGGGTGAGTCAAACTTCACTGAGAAATGTCTGACTAAGATACATAGCATCGACGAGAGTAGATTGAGTTGAAGCAACAGGACTAACAGACACAAACGGAGAGCCAGAAATAAAAACAATAAATCAGAAGCGAGGAGTAATATAGAAGAAGGGGCAACGCAAAGCGATAACACGTCCGACATATAATCTACCGGTGTGACCTAGCATGGACGGATGGCGGGATGCACTAAGGCATGACCTACACTGCGATGTGTGGTTCAGAGTACTGTATGCAACGTCAAGAGCGTGCTTCAGAATATTAATGCGTGGCTGAGTTGGCACCTTTGCCGCTAGAACTGCAGCACGGCGTGTACTTGTCCCGAGTAGATTATCGCGTCGTGTCATTTCCAACATTATCTTCTAGCCTGGCCGTCTCAGTACGTCGGAGCCATTTATGTCGGATTCCTCGACGGGGGGATCGTTTCTGTCATTGTAAGGCTTGCGCTTAGGGCGCAAGGGTCTGCGGGGAAGTTGTGGCGGAAACGGCTGAAGTGCAGCATCGTTGGAAGGAGTTGCGGAAGTGCCCGTGCATCCATTGGTCGAGCATTAAGTGCGGGTGTCTCCTCCACATGCTTTGCGCTCGTGTGACAGCACGAGCATCACGCGTAGCGTGACGTGACATTGCATCCGACTGAGGCTCAATTTGGCAACTCGTTTGTATTCGCTTACCATTACCTTCATCGATACTGCCACATTGCACAAACACAGAATTCAACTGGAGCCAAACAAGACCACAAGTAACCAAACTATGCCTGTATTTGAACATGGTTCTACGCGGCTTCGCCACGTACGTCGTTTGACATTCACCTGCCCCCGAGACTCATGAAATGCCTGCCCGGGTTGCCCGCTCCGCTCCTCCTCGCAATGGTAATGGGAATGGCTTGGAATATTCTCGATCTCGATCTCACCTCTCTAATAACGATCGTGTGGATCTCTACCACCAATTTTCCTCCAAAAAGCCTAAACAGACTGTCCACCGTCAGGTTGCAGGCGCGGAAGCTGCTAAGTTGGTCCATGGACCAGTGGATATTGATTCCTTTCTGGAAATCGACTGCTTCCCTGGGATGAAGGTTTGCGGCGTGAAGAACGAGAGAGTGGTCAATATTACCGACTTGCTACGCCAAGTCGACCCGACAATTATTGGAGCCAACAAACGGTCGGAACGACTGATGTATTCACCTCTGGTAAGCTGTGATTTTCCTCAAAGTGACACTGATGAACTCACCAGTCTTGGCGGTGAAGGCGAAGGCTCTGAATGAAATCGCCAAGAAGGCCGTTACAGGCCGTCCCTTGCCTGTAAAGTTCGACGTTTGTGGAGACCTACGGCCGGCAGAGGAGATTGGCGGTTTCCGAACTACACCCGACCTATCCATCCAACCACGGAGAAAAAGTAAGAACCACGGTTCCTCGAGCGACTACTGGGCTCGCGGATTGGGCATAATAGAGGTGAAAGCCACGGAGCAAGAGGATCCGTGGTACCAGAGGGTGTCGACAAGCGCGGGAGAACATGAATTCACCGAGGTGCAGTTGAAGACGTGGAATCAGATCCAGGAATATGCCGTCATGGCGTACCGTGCCGTCTCCCGCTGCTTCCTCCTCGGCATGGGCTTCTTTGGGGATGTCGTCCGTTTCTTCCGATGGGACAGGTCGTCCATCATCGTCTCTGATCCCGTACACTATAAAGTCGACCCTGCTCCGTTGATCACGTTCGTCGTCGGCCTCGCCAAGTTTGCCAATAGCGGGATCGACAGGACGGCGCATACGAGTCTCGGTACCAAGGCTGAGCTTGCGCTCGTTCACAGCTGCTACGACGAGGCGGTGCATCTTGGGATCCTGTCGGAGTATACGCCACATCGCGACGGAGACACCTTAGATGGCGAGAGTACCCGAATCGTAGTGGAATCCCCCCAGAAGCCAGGACTGTATGAAACTTTCCTGGCCATCGGACGACCGATGTTTTATAGCAGGTCCGTCCGTGGACGCGGAACTCGAGTTTGGCTGGCAAAGAGAGCCAGGCGGTGCGAGGACGGTTTTGTTGTCATCAAGGACACGTGGCGAAATGAGAGCCGTTGGACGGAAGGGGAGATTTATGGGTCGATATACAAGGGGGCGGAGTCTGTTTTTGGCGTGGCCCGCTTCTACCACGACTTTGACGTCCCAGATCCCGTTTCGAAGGAAATGCCCTGCTGTACCGCTGCTGCAAGGCTGAACGAGGAAGGGACGGACCTCACCGAGCGCATCCATCATCGTTGCGTCTTGTTATCGGTCGGTATTCCGCTCGATCGCTTCAAATCGACAAAGCAGCTGCTACACGCTATTCGAGACGCCGTGGAGGGTGAGTGGCACTGAAATCGGACTTCATCCCTGCTAACTAGCTGTTCAGGGCACAGGAACATGTGTTCCAACGGTGTTCTGCACCGTGATATCAGCCCCCATAACATCATGATCAGTGTATATCCGGAAAGGGAAATGGGCGCCCGAGGATTCCTCATAGACCCCGAATTAGCGGTAGTGGACACCATGCCTGACCTGGCAACGGAACTACACTATCTGACGGTACGTTGGCTGAATGATTGTTATGTGCCTTTAATGACGAGCCTTACTAAGGGCACGCCACCGTTCATGGCTATTGATCGCTGGGTTGACGATGAAGCGGACCATGAAGAATGGCATGATTTAGAGTCGTTCTTCTGGGTCTTAGTCTTTGTTGTTATCCGCCACACTCCGTGCTACATCACCCAGAAGCGGGTTGACAAGCCAGCTGTCGAGTTTCTCCCTTCTCTATACGACACGTACCCATCCGATCGCAACAAGAAGACCTTCCTTACTGACGATGCGCCTAACCTTACTGTTGTCAATAATCCTCCGTTGACTGCTTGCATCAAGAAGCTTGCTTCCATTGTTTACTCCCACTATTATCCCGCTCAAGTCAAGCAGGACCTCCTTCCCGGGAAACTGAACCAACTCACCCACGCCAAGGTCATCGCCACGCTCGATGAGTTTTTGAAATCCGCTGAATGGCCATCCGAGGTTGACGATGCAGCCGTGCCTTTTGAGCAACTAGAGCGACACAGTGTTCAGCAGAAGCAAGAGGTCGCAGCAGCTTTAAATGCTGCGCGCCTCAAAGCGGAGTCTGGCAGAAGCTCAAGGATCTCCCGGACTTCCAAGTCAGCCCAAGTGGCCAAGCAAGGGCAACAGGATCGTCGCACGAACCAGTTGAAGCCGAATGCAAGGAACGCGTCGGCTGGACCTGCTGCCCGGGGTATTAAGCATATATCAGCAGCACCGCCTCCCAAAGCTCCACAGCATGTCGCCTGGCATTTAGCGACTGCACACAGGACGCGCAAGAGGAAGGGATCGTCGGTCGAGAAAGAACCTGCCGATGAAGAGTCGGCGCTAAAACGCTCGCGGCACACGGCCGCAGTGGCAACGAGGACGCCCGTCGCGAAAAACACGCGGAGTGCTGCTCGTCGGAATCACGCCGTGTCATCGTATCAAGGGACTACTCGGATTGTGACGCGTTCGCAGACGCGCCGCGCTCAACAACGCTCAGGCTGAGACCACATTGCATATCTGGCCGACGTCTCTTGTCTGCCTCTGCTGTTCATTCCTTCTCCACGATACCCCTGTGTACATAGCTTTATCCAAGAATCTGTTTCATCCGGCTCTGACCTCTTCGCTTATTGTATTATACCTCGTGTAGTAATTCCTAACGACGAGACTTCAAAAGGCGCCAGCCATATGCCAGCTCATCCCCAGCGCAAGGATATTTCGATTCTCTATTGGTTCTTGTCGTTCCATCTACTATTGACTACTTGGGGTGCGGTGGGTGTTACTTCCGTTCCGAATCCAAACCTTGTGGGTGTAATGGGCCAGCATAACCGAACGTCGGTTACTATGCTCCCCTTCTCCACCAACTTAAACGACTGTCGAGACCATCCTCTCAGGCTCCTTTAGACGACCTATAGCAGCTTGTCCTGACAATCCATCCCTGTATCTTCAGTCTCGTCTCTGCAGCATCCATCAAAGATCCATCCTTTGACAGCCAACACGATGACGGTGATGCAAGCCTCATATGACATACAGTATATTGTCAACCTCTCTTCACTTTCGCAATATATCCTGACTCAGATCGCACCCGCCAGCACCCATACTTTCCTAGGGGACATCAGCTTTCCGAGCCGATGGGCTTACTGAGGCAGAGACACAATGACTGCACTCAAGACGGGCCTTGTAACCACAGTATGCCCCGAGGAAACAAACACCAGGATTGCGGCCGCGGTCCGAGGCCCAGTAAATCACAAAGCTCTCGCTGGACGAGAAGACCGCAATACGGGTACGAGCGCATTCAAAAAGAACTGGGCATGCCAGGGCCGTTACCCACCTGCAAAACCTGCAAACCTACTTTCAGACAGCGACATCGAGGCATCAACGCGCTCACCCCGTCCTTCTCACGACTTGCGTGTTCGGCAACCCCACCCCTTCGGACCAGCGTAAATATACCACGAACGGCCTGATATTGCTGAACGCCCAAGTGGAACGACGAATTACACGGTATAGGCCCAAATCTCCACAAACAGGGACACCCGGACGTCCATGAATAGGACAACTTCCCGACTATTGGCACTCTGCCCCCGCCCCTCGGAAGTGGATAGGTCCGGCCAACGCTTGAGGGCACCGATCGACGAGGTGCCCTAAATACTCACAGAGGTGCACGTTCAGGGCTGCGAGGCGCAAGAAAACGGGATGGGGTAGCCAGTAGCACCGCGAGTCATCTACACAACTGCGGGTCAGCTGCAATATCGTCTGCCGGGACTAGCGACACGAGATCCGGTCCACGAAAGCGAGCAAGAATTCAAGAATCGATCGCCGTACCTGCTTCCGCCGTGAGAAGATGCACTTGATCACTTCATCGTTGGGTGTGTGCGTGTGCCATATGACTCCAGAGCCACAGAAGGACGAGAGGGTCCAAGGCAGGCGAGATACAGGTCGCGTCAAGCGGGCCGCGCAACGCAAACGACCCGCTCTCGGGCACCGTAGAGTCAGGATCCGGTACATGATGAGAGCCGCCACGGTCTCGAGGGGCTAGGTATGTAGATACATTCCTCTACGGAACACCTGCTTCACGGAGTCGTCGCCAACCCATCGCCCGGTACTCCACAATGGACTCGCCGTCGCCAGATACCAAAGCTGGAACATTTGAGGCGAGCCCGGAATACACAGATGGATGAAAGAGCTAGCCATTGCGACATAAGCATCGTGCTGGCGAAGATCATGTACGCCATGGCGGTCTGAGCCTCCGAATACTGAGAGCCACAGTGGGTAGCGACACCAACGGAGATCGCACTTCCGCTCGTGCATCCGCGACAATATCTACGAGCACCAGGTATTCACGAGAAGCAGATACGCCGCCGGGTGCACATGCAGTGATAAAACATCCAGGATTGAGAACCGCCGTGCGAGTCTTTGGTCAAGCGCTGTAGACGTCGGACGAGGCGCTGAACGACCCGATCCTCCACCCACAGCGCAGAGACCCACGCGGACGTCTCGGAGAAGCACAGTCACCTCTAATATAATGGGGTGAGGGATGCGCCCGGCCGTGGACCCGAGCAGCGAGGGGCTGGGGAGCAACATTCCCTCACGCTGTGGCAAAAGCACCATCGTTCGTTGCTGGCTTTACGGTAGAGGTACCTGTGCTGCTGCGGATCAAGTGATGCCGCGACGAAGGTGACGTTTTCTTACATGTCTCCCAGCTTCTGAGGTGGAGCGCAGCGGTATGCGGCGCGAGGGGGAGGGGGGGAGTATTCCTTTGTACCAGTACGTCTTGGTCTGCAACGTCCTGATATTGTCAGTCAACGTTTCCACTGTATCAAGTATACCTGCCGTCGGGCGGGTACGAAACGCACTCGTGGAAGTGCTTACACCTTGCGAAACAGATTCGCAACGTTGTGGATTGCTGCCTGCAACCGGAAGGCGAAGAGGACCACGCGGGTTCGGCCGAGCAAGACGAGTTGATGTCGATACCGGCGGAGAATGCCAAGGAAAAGGGAGAAAACCAAAGAAGGACCCAATACCTGACGTCCTGAAAGAACTGACGTGCTCATCAGCGCCTAGAATGCGTTGCGAGGCATCGCCATCGCAGCGAGAAAGCAATCGGTATCCAGAGGAGAACTGGTTCAGCGACAATGGTATGCTGGGTTGCGCCTCGAATGAGGACCGCGCACAGGCATGCAATGCAGCATCCGAATCATCGTCAGCGCTCAATCATCGCTGTCCGGTCCAAGTACTAGTCCAGTCGACGTCCATGAGTTGTCGGTGAGTATCGGTTGCATGTCCGTTCCGGCATTCCCCGGCCTGCATCTCCCCTGGTTGACACGATGTCCAAGCTTGCAAGTGCTGCTGTTGAAGTCGTATATCGATTCGACAGTCACAAAGGATGCGTTTCGAACCGAGGACATTTGAAACATGGATCTGACTTTCGCTTATCTCTGCTTCGGAGTCACACCACGCGTCCTAGTAAAATCCTCATGAATCATTGCGGCCACTTTCGAGCACCTGTGAACGCAGTTGTCTCTATAGCTGATGAAATGTCCACTGACGACCCGGGTGTAACCTGGAACCAGCTCGCAGTCTTGACAGCTCATGAAGCGCGGCTACCCGTGCTGGTATTGCTTTGGCCTCGTTCGCGACGAGCCTGCCTATTTTGACCTCGCTCTCCCTTGAGAAATCTCTGGACACTCCCCCTCCTCCCTGCAGACTTTGGGTACTTTCCTACTGGACCGTCAAACAGGATAGTCGTTGTCATGCAAAGATATGTCGTACCTGTCAATCAAGCACACCCAATCACCTGGCTTTACGTCGTCCATCGCCGCTTTGTTCTCCTTCGTGATCTGCTCCTTGTCCTTTATATCTAAAATACTCTTATCCGCTATCATGGTCATGGACCCTCCGCATTGCATATCTCAAGCCGCTGGCAGAACTCGAATGCGTCTCTTGTTGAAATCAAGGGTCGTACCTGTCGTATGCTTACTGGATCGCTTGCTCAACGGCATCCTGCTCCTTCTACAATTTGTGCTTGGGTGGATGCGCTCACGCCCATGTCATCCGCTCCTGGTGGTAAATCTCCTGCCACAATATCACTTGCAGTTTGACTTCCCTGGACGATTTTATCCAACACGCCGGTCTCGCCTAATCAATCGCTTTGAATCATCAATTTAGCTGTTATCTCTCAGTCTGGTCAAGGCTCATGGCCGTCTTCTGAACACATTTCTTTCCGACGGTATACATACCCAGATTAGTCGATCGAAATGCGAACAATCTTTCGGTTACAGAGAAAGTGTCGAGTACAGGATAAATAGATCTCAGTCCGCTACTATGCTGTACGGCCACGCGTTCGTCGCGTCCCACCCGTCTTCGACTTCGCCTTCACACCTTTTCTCGCAGGAGCTGGGCGTGCGCGCTTCAGTGGCGGCGCGTTCGCTGCCTCGACCCTCGCTTTGCGCTTCGTTGCTGGCCGCTTGGGCACCCCGGCAGCGTGTAGGTATGCCTTCGCGACGATGGAAGCGTCCCCCTCGGGCCACCCCTCCGCGTCTAGAGCCTTGTTAATCGCATCCAAGAACGCCTCGTGTGTTATTGCACCCATCTCTCTCGGCTGCTTACCCTGATCCAGACTGCCCCAGTACTGCTGCTCTACGAGCTTCGCCAGGGCCGTCATGCACTTCGTCAGTGGCTCATGTTCGTCAACAGTGATGTAGCGGACGTGCTTCCAGACAAACCGCCGGGAGGGCTGGACTTCGTCCTTCTCCAGCGTGCAAGGCCACCGGTACTCATGGATGACTAAGCGGCCCTCAGCGGCGAGGACGTAGACGAGCAGCCAGTAGAAGGACTCGACGTCGTGCCAGGGCTCGTGCGGGCCCCCGCTCGTCACTTCGGGCTGGCGGTCGATTGACATGAACATTGGCGTGCCCTGTAAAGCGTGGTGAGTCAGTATTAGCTATTTCACCGTCGGGGACATGGAGCTCGTTATACTCACGCAGACGTTGAGCACGTCTTGGTCGTAACCGGGCTCGCCCTGTATGACTGCGTACTCGGGATCTATGAGGAACCCTTTCGCACCGCCCTCTTGTTTCGGGTACAAGCTTATCAAGATGTTGTGTAGGCTGATGTCACGGTGAAGCACGCCCCTTTCCCACATGTTCTTGTGGCCTGCGGGAGGAGTCAACAGTCGTCAACCGTCTGCAATCTAGTCAAGAGATCTGCAGATGCTCACCGATGATGGCATCCCGGACTGCTTCTAGTAGCTGCCGCGTCGACGTGAATCGGCTCAGCGGAATGCCGACGGAAGCAAGGATGCAGCGATGGAGCGTCCTCTCATCGTACTTGTCCCTCTTCAGCTTCTCGTTGAGCGCTTCGCCCTGAGTTACAATCACTTCCCCGCTGTTGACGTCCTCCACATCGAAGTAGTGGTACAGACGCGCAACCCCGAAGACGCGCTTATCCTTCCCGTATATCCGACGATATATATCACCTTCGCACCAGCGCGTGCTGTCGCGCCAGCTGTCCTTGATGATCACGTACTTGCGGTAAGAGGGGAGACTCGCCAGCCATACGCGCGAACCACATCCGATCAAACGTGTGTTCGCCGCCATCGCAGGTCCCAGCGTGGTAAAGTCTTCCCACCCACGCCGATATGGCTTCGGAGTCCGGATCTTCCTTGACGTGCCCAGCCAGCGGGCATCCTTCTTGGGGTCTCCACACTCAGGGTACACCAGAAGTTTCTTCGCGAGCTGGTACTGCCTCTCTGCCCTTGCGAGCTCCAGGCTACTGGTAATCTTTGTGCTGGAGGTATCATCGAATCCGTATCCATCGTCGTACACGCCGAAGCAGGTCAGAAACTCGATCAGCGGCGCAGGGTCCTCCTTGTATTTGAAAGAGTCAGATACTATTACCGTAGACCGGTCCCACCGGAAGAAACGGGCGTTGTCGCCGAATACGCAGAGAGCGACGAGGAAGCGGCGTGCGCGGTAGTGCATCACCTCGGCTGCGTGCTCGTGGACCTTGTTCCATTGAGCTACGTTCCGGAAGTCACCTGGATCTCGATCGTCGTAGGCGTCGACCTCAATGAAGCTATTCCCCTCTTGCCATATCGTGAGCGGTCCATCCGAGTCTTGGATTGTGATTGCAGGCCTCGTACGAGTCCAGCTCAGACCGGGTTTTTCATCAGGTATGACCTCGAATCGTAGCGGTTTGAAATCTGCATCGGTGACATCGCGTGAAATGGCGTTGAGTGCTTTGACCTATTTACTTCGTTGTGGATGGATGCAGCAGAGTATACGCCAGACTTACGAGAAGTCTGACCAGCGGTTCTGCTGTCCATTCGTGCCTGGATGTTCCTGGCCTGGCTCGTCTCAAGAGAGTTTTGGATCGGTCTATGGTTTTCTGAGCCGGAGGTTTGTACTCCGAGTCAGTGGAACAAATGTCTTGTAGGAAAGCATCTGTGGACACCGGACCATACAGAGATCTGCGAGCTTCCTCGCCTGCGCCCGAATACATTGTTAAATGCTCAACTAAAACGTGGTATGTGGTTCGGGTGAGCGAAGTGCATCATGCTAGACTGTAAGATAGAGAAAGGGGGGAAGGCGTGCCGCCAGCAGGTGTATTTGGCTATGGATGACATGGGCGTAGGGAAAAACAACCACTCACGAATTTATCAGGTGGGTTGCCTGTTCAAACAGAATGAACGTGAGAGCGTCTATCCTGGCGTTAAGAGCAGGGGCGAACAATGGTCAACAGCGCCACTGCGCCACTGCGCTTGATGAGCCACACGGGATTTTCCGCCTACGATACCCCCATTGTCCGTGAAGCGCTTCAGCTCACGCGTTTCCGTGTTCATGCACCTGTGCTGAATGTGCACCAACGTAGAGGTATCGTTCAATCCCGTTTCCGGTAAACGATGTTTGAGAATCAAATTACCAGCGGCTTTGACGAGAGTCGACTGAACATGGAATCTCACTCCTTACCGTAGGCGTGTGGATTGCGAAGTTTACTGTGACGGAAACCCTTGCGAACTGGCATGGCGGGACGCTCGTTGTCTTTGTCTAGGCTTCAGCCAATGAACACGTATCCCAGGCACCGCTCTGGAATCCTAACCCCTGGCTCCAGCGTCTGTGGCTGAAGGGCACCGCTTATTCTCTCCTGACTGAGACTTTACTCCACGTTTTCTTTACATGATGGCTGAATTTCCAGGAAATATATGTCTTGGAAGGAGAAGTACAAAGAGGTTTCTTTCGTACGACACGTCGTGGCCTTGTTACCGGCGTCTAAATTTCGAGGTGAAACTTGAAGGGGCATTTTGGAAGAAAGGTGGGATGGCTGCGATAATCATAATCTCTATAGAGACTTGCGATCGGTCGCGGTATAGGACAATGAGACTAATGAGCAATGCCTCATAGCCTCCTTTGACCCTACAAAGGCCGTTCATTGAAAATCGCCGAGAATGCGGCCCGGACAAGATGATGGTCGATAACTCACAGCATGTAACAATCAACGCCTTTCACAGTCAGTGCGAAAACGAAGCTCGAGGATCCTGTGTACCTTCCAAATACTCTGACAATGGATTGTCAGAGTGCTTGGCAAAGTGGAAAATTACCCAGCGGCGCAGGTACTGGAGATGGCCACATCATGATTATAGACGCCTATCTTCTGGACCCTGAGCGGAAGTAACCCCAATATGCATGCTCGCCCTTAGCCAACTATCGATATCACTCGCTTAGCATCACTTCCCAAATGAAGAAGAAAGAACAATGGCATAGCTGACCAACGATGCCACACAATCAGAACCAGCCCCATTACAATGCATATCACGTGCACCAACGCGTCCTGTTTAAATTCAGACTCCATGAGCCACACAAGTTCGATTTCAACCACATCCCCGTCCACTGAGTCGTGCCGACAGCCTTCCGCCTCGCCCACTCTCCTCAACTACAGGCCCCCAGCGTTCCCGACGTCCGTGGCACTTCATGCTCCAACCACTGTTCAACAAGACAAACAGAGACTACGTGCCTTTACCCGAATCTCCCGTCTCCAACAAATTTCGACCTCCATCGGACAGGCATAAGGAGAACGACGGGAAGGGTTGTCATGCCTCGCGCATTTCTGAAGATGATTCCGACGCACCCGAGCCATTCTTCGCTCCCCAGGGCGAGAGCATCAAGTATTTCGCGAAAACGCGTCCTGCCCCGCTCCTGAGGGAGCTGCCGTCCCTCAAGAAGCTAGATTTTCATACTGACCTGTTTTTCCCCCTCTCTCCGGCGAAACACGTGCTGCTGAAGTCCAGGCTTCTTGAATTCAACAGGAAGGTGGCGAGAGTCCTGTTCCGGACCTGGATCGTTAGCGTTCTCGAGAAGAAGGGGATGGGATATAGAGTACGTGCTCGTGCCATACTCCTGCCACCGAGGCCTATACCTTTCGTCTTTCCAGGAGTGGCGTATATACGTCCAGTGCCACAAGGCTCTGACGGCCCGCAGTGACATAAACAAAGTACGTCGTTCGCCACTTCACTACATCGAGCTCTACTGACGATCGGAAAGGACAATCTCCCGCGAAAGAGCCTGGAGAAGTTCCGGCTAATGGGCGTGGAGCCCGAGGATTTCAACGATGAAGCCTGGATGCCAGGCGCCTTCGAAGCTCCTACCCAGATCTCGAAACTGACGTTTGAAGAGCGGAAGGAGCGGCTGGTCCGCAAGTTAGTCGCTGCCTTCCTAGTCGGTGTCGAGAAGCGGGCTGAGGAGCGCGAGCGCCTGGCAGAGCAGACTCGCGTACAGCAGCAAGAGGAAGGCTTTGAAGGGGACGGGGAAGAGTCTGTGATTGGCGAGGGGGGCGACGTCGTCGCAGGTAATGCTGAAAATGATGCAGCGGAAGGCGAAGACGACAGTGAGGTCCAGAGCACAGACAAAACCGTCGGTAGCGACGATCCCATCGATGCTCCGGAGGCCGTGGAAGATGCCGCAGAGAAGCCCTGTTGCCCCAACGACTCTTCTGAGGAGCCACCGACTGTCTCCCTCGAAGAGGGCAATGCCGCCCGTTCCCCTGCCGTGGCTACGTCGCCTGCTCGAAGCGCGCCGTTCCGCGAGCTTGGCAACCTTTCGCCTTTGAAGCCAGCGGACGACGTCCTCGCGCGTTCTGCCGAGGAGATTGGCGTGCTGACCACGGAAAACGCGGAAGGCCCGGCGCAAGACACTTCAGCGACGACGACCGCGATCCTGAAATGGGCGCCTTTCTCGACGCCTCCCCGACAGACGTCACCCAGTCTGCATGTAAAGGTGGAACCTTCCGAACAGGAGGTTCCGCTGCCAGCACACCATATGCATCTTCCCTTACAAGACAACACATATACTGAGCAGGGAGCAGAGCACCTGCAACCGGCGGCAGCCCGAGGGCCACCGGCGGATTCCTTCGCCTGCCTCGCCATCGGGATGGGGCGAGCCCCGCGCGACGACTTCGAGCGCGAAGTCTACACCGAAGGCCTCGCGTGCGCGTACGCGCAGATCCTCGCCCGGGAGAACCTGGAATACGACTTCGCCAACCAGGGAATGGAGCTCCCGCACATCGAGGACGACGACATGCTCAAGCCGCGCATGGGTAACGTGTGGGCGTTGGAGCACGACGCCTACCAGACGGTGTACGCGAACGCGTTTGCCGAGGTCCTCGCGCAGGAGGCGCTCGAGGAGGAGGCGGAGGATTCGGACGAGGATGAGCGGCCGGTAGAGCGCATGGACCAGGACTGGAAGGTCCAGATTCGCCGCCCCCGACGCGCCGTCGAAGAGGTCGAGCTCGCCGATGGGTCGGCCATGGACATCTCGTTCCATGGGCCGGTAGACCCTATGGAGTGCGAGGTGACCGAGGGTCCCGCTGACATGCCTGTGACGATTCTCGCGGGACTTGCCCACGTCGACGAGGAGCCGATGGACGTCGACTTTCCCGACGAAGCCGGCGACATCGACATCCACGACGCGTCGATGATGTCGATGGCCCCTTTTGACTTCGCCCAGCCTGCCCATCCCTTACAGGACATACTCGGCGCGTTTGGCAACATCAGCCTCTGGTCAAAAGACGCCATCGAAGTGGACGCGCACCTTGACTGTTAAGTCTCCGCGATGCGAGGATCGTCGAGGTTGTAAGACATGAGATGGACGTGCTTATGTTACGCGCTCCTGCCCCTGGCTTGTTCTTTGATGTTCTGTGCTTAATCTTCATGTTATATCGGGTATATAGGTTGTTGGGCATGTTTCTCTCCAGGTCGTATTTCAAGTTATATGATGGTTTAACTTCTCAGAGTGTATATATCAGTGTCGGTAGTATGTATCTCAAACACCAATGGAACGTACTTCGTTTGCATTCTCCGAGAAGACCTTGAGAGGACTTGTGTGGGACGTATATGGACAACGGGGTATTCTCGTGTTCAGTGGACGCCCTGACAAGTCCGGAACCCTTATCGGCTCTGTATGAAGTCCGGTTAAATTTCCACTGCGTGCGAGCAATGTTAGGCGCGTCATGGGAGGAATCGCTGCTATACGTTTGTTCATCCTCTACACACCCGTGTTTTTTATATAGGAGACCAGAACCACGTGCTGGGAGCGTGCACCGCGCTTTGCAAGAGATGGGAACCAGCCACATGGCCCCGCGAAGACTATTGGAATATCGAAAAGCGATCGATGGGCTTCGCGTGGCCCTGGGGTGCATCGTGTGCTCGATCGTATAAATCAAATGCGAAGAATCTGGCCGGCGTCGTACGAGCTGGACTATCAGATTATGAATGAGCGCCGACACTCGCCAGGTACCGTCGCTCCGTCGTGAATGTCAGGACAACACTGTACACGTCATTGTGAGCACTGTGTGGATTTGAGGCGACGAACAGCGGGGCGACAAGAGCGACAGGCGGTTCAGCACGTCGCAGGTCCGAATGGATGAGTGAGGCGATATCGTGACGAATTTCGCGTCAAAGGGACGAACGATTAGACGGTAAAGGAGGTACAGGACGAGACTCGCCTTGCACCGTCGGATGTTCTGAGATAGTGGTGTTAGTGCGCTGGCACAGCACACACTCACAAATTCCACCGCTCCGGGGACCGAATTCGACGAGCATCCAAGGAAGGCAATTGCGTTAAACGAGTTGGAAACCAACTCAGCCTAGGGAAGAGAATTTGAGCATAGACGCCCGATCAAGAGTGAAGGTACGCACATCACATCATGGATCATTCGTGAAAGTCTGCATTCTGGTCTGGGCGGTATGGCATGAGAAATTTTCACCTCAAAGGAGCAGAAGTTAGTTCGCGAATGAGGAATAGTCCGTATGGAGGGTACTTCCATGGCATCGTCGATCCGTCGTGCGGGCCGTGACGATATTGCAGATCTCTGTGAATTTGAGGCAACGATCCGCATGGTCTGTGGGAGGTGTTATGTGCCGACCCGGGGCTGCGAACGCTGCTCTTATACGTCCTGGAGTGGGATAATCGGGCACGATTGAGGATGGTGAGCGGTGCAGATTACATTGACGGTGCAACAGGGTGCGATACGATATGATACATTTGGGCTCCAAAGGGCTGGAAGGTTAGATGATTGATACAATGAAGTCCGTGCGCACTTGCCAGGCACCGTCAGTCTACTGCTACCTCGCAGCGCAATGAACCGCACTCACAAGTCTGTAATGCTGTCCACCAGTGAAGAGAGACGTCAATGAATGGTCAAGATGACGCTCCCTCAGGCGAGGGCGGCGGGGGCTCCTTGAGCGGGTTCTCCTCCCTCGCCTGCGCCAAAAGCTCCCCCAATCCAGGGTCTTTCACGGTCTTCTAATTACCCCAACACATCAACATTTCCCTCCCTTCGACGGAACGCGTAGATACTGAAACGAACCTGCACGCACTCCCGATAGCTTGCCCAAATCTTCCCGCAGCTGGCCTCGTATTCCTCCGCCTTACGCCGTGAGTGCGTCTGGCGCTCCTCTGACGGCGCGGTGGCGGACGATACGGCGGGCTCGAGGTGGCCCTCGAACCACGCGTTGAAGCAGGCGTCGTATCGTATTCAGGCGTGCATTCTGGCGAGAGACTCTGTGCCTGTTTAGACTAGCTGTAGGATAGAGTACTGGTCAAAAGCAAAGGAATGTTATATTCGGCTACAGCCACAGCCACCCTTACGCGTAGCTGCGGCCTGTCTCTTCCTGTTACTGTTTCCCGCTCGCCACGATGGTCCTTGTCCTCGTCGTTGGGTACCTGCACATCCTTCACCGCGTGCACGACCAGCCTGCGAAATTCAAGAAGCTGCTCGTCCCAGTAAAATCCAACAAATCTTGTGCAAGGGCAATGTCTGCGACAAGGACACGTACGGGTGACTCAAGGCCGTCGCTGCAGACGTGGACGTCTTGTACGGGGACTAGGACGATGTGCGCACTCGCGCTGGTGGCTGCGCCTGGTAAAATTGATGAAGAAACGTAGAGCGCGGCGCTGGCGCTGTCCATCACGGTGAGCCACTCGCGATCCAAGCTTGAGTGGACAACGTTTTGGATCCAGCTGGGAAAGGCCTGAAGCCTGGAGTCGGTTCCTTCACCTGCTCAATGCCGCGAGATGCATCAATTCGTATGAACAAACAATTGTTGGTCAGACGAGCATTGGCCAGCAGCGTCACGCATGCGTGACAGGCGCACGTGAAGTAACGCGACTGTGACGCTGTCTCAGATGGATGCCAAATATAGCACAAAGCCTTTATGTCTAGCACCGACAACACGACAACAGACGAGGGCCCTACCTTCGACGACGGCCATAGCGTTTGAAGCACAAGATGAATTTAAACAGATGGAGGATACGGAGGGACGCCTTCGTACGTACGCTCCTCGAAAGTTACTGATGGACTGAGGATTTTGACGAGATGCACGCTGCAACCGCTCCTACCCCTCCGCGCGCCCGCCTTGGCCTGCGTTCCACCGTCGTTGGCCTAATTAAACGTGGCGCAAAATCTGTTTCTGCACTCGCTCATGCACACCGTCTGAACTCCTTTGTCCAGTTCGGCACCGTCAAGGAATCCCATTCAAACCATCGTATCCTGGCTGGCACTGAGGCTACCGAGCACCTCTATGGACCGGTCGATGTCTACGAGTTTCTGGATGACTCGTTTCCGGAATTCGACGTCTCGGTTCGTTCGACGGTCTTCAAAGAATTCAAGAAACGCTTGCGGGAAGTGAAACCAAGTGTGAAGCCTTCTGGAGGACCATCGGAGAAGGCCATGTACGCGAGTATTGTGAATATATCATGCTATTCTACACCTTCTGTAATTATACTGATATCTCCAAGGTTGATGCTCTCAACTACATATGTGAGAACGCCGTCAAGAACGAGCCTCTCCCCCTCCAGTTCCACGTCTCGGCCAACGAACGCAAGCAAGAATCCAAAGGCGGGTACCGAATCGCGCCGGACATCGCCGTCCTCCCTTCCTCCTCAACGGACACTTACTGGGCGCGCTCGCTCGGCTTCATCGAAGTTAAAGCGACCGAGAACGAAGACCCCTTCCGGCGGTACAGGCCCGACCTCAAAAATACCCCCACGATGAACCAGGCCGAGGTCGACTCCTGGAACCAGCTGCAGGAGTACGCGGTCGTGTCCTTCCGCGCCGCGCCGCGGTGCTTTCTCTTCGCAGTGGGCGTCTTCGGCAACGTCGCGCGCCTCTTCCGCTGGGACCGCTCCAGCATGCTCGTCTCCGGGCCCATCCGGTACAAGACGGACCCGACGCCGCTGATCGAGTTCCTCGTGGGGTTTGCGAGCCACGCGCGTAGCGGGATCGACGAGAGCGTGCGCATGCCCATCACCGGGCCCGCGGAGCGCAAGCTGGTGAAGGAGAAGTACCAGGAGGCGTTCACCTCGCGGCTGCTGCCCAAGTACGAGCCGCTGCACAAGGGATACAACGACCTCGTCGTGGACAGCACGTTCATCGATATACCCCACGCGGAGCCTGCTGACGGCGTCGCGGACCGCTTCGTCACCATCGGCCCCCCACTCTTCTGCGCCAACTCAATTTTCGGGCGCGGCACGCGCGTCTGGCTCGCACAAAAGCTTTGCGAGGACAGGGAGGAGGCGGGTTTCGTCGTGGTCAAGGACTACTGGCGCGATCGCGAGCGTTGGACTGAGGGTAATATCTATCGTGCGATATACGGCGCGTCGGGGCGCGCGTTCGGCGTCGCGCGGCTCTATCACGACTACGACGTCACGGCTGACCCGCGGGACCGGGTACACGTCGCCTCGGGCTGGATGGTCAATGAGAAGCTAGGAGAGGTGGTGTTCAAGGATCTCGTGCATCATCGATGTATTTTGTTGTCAGTGGGTATACCGCTGTGGCGGTTCAAGTCCACGCGCCAGCTGTTGCATGCTATACGAGATGCGCTTAAAGGTTTGTTCGGTGTGGATACGTGACATACTCGGAGCAGCTGATACTTCTTCCGCGTAGGACATCAGAATATGTGCAAAAACGGTGTTCTGCATCGCGATATCAGCGTAAATAACATTCTGATTAGCGCTGATCCGGGCGCAGAGAACGAAGCCGTAGGGTTTCTCATTGACCCTGAGCTGGCCTTCGCCGATGGGATGAAGGATAAGGATGGAGAATTGCGCAATCTAACGGTTCGTTTGTCGTATTCTGGCTCCCTTCACGTTGTAACCTGTTTTGCAAGGGAACATACCAATTCACGGCTGTCAAGCGTTTTCAAGAGTTAAACTGCGAGCACCTCACGTGGCACGATATCGAATCGTTCTTCTGGGTCCTGGTTTACGTCATCCTCAGGCATACCATCTGTGAAATTCTCCATGATGGCCTAAAGATCAAAGGGTATCAGTGTGTGCCAGCGGTGTTCACGGACGTCCCAGGGGACAGGCAATTATTTGTGACGGACAAGGTCCAGAGTCTGGAGGTAGAGAATAACACACCTCTTTCCCAGTGCATCCAGGAGTTTGCCTTACTGGTCGCCAGTCACTACCTTTCGCCTCATGTTCGAGAGAGGTATGCAGCCGATGAACTCAACCTCCTCACGCATCAGAGGGTCCTAGCTATTTTCGACAAGGCGCTGAACGCTGATGGCTGGCCCGCAGAGGAGGACGACGGACCAGTGCCTTTTACCATACTGGAGACCCATACGGTCAGGTCTAAACGTTCCATCGCCGAGAACATACACAACGCGGTCGCGGAGAACTCGAAGCAAAGAAAGCAAAATTCGACTGCCAGCAAGCGCACGCTTGCGAATGCATTCGGCCTTCGCGAGCGCCACCCTCCGCGGCGTTCCAAACGGATCCACATCGAGGATGCCAAAGAACCAGAACCTGCACCCGCTCCTGAGTCGGCGGATAAGGACGATATCAAGCCAAGTAAACGGCCTGGCCGGGGAGGCCTCAGCAAGGTGAAGTCAGAGCCAAAAGCGAAGAATATTGGGAAGGCGTCGAGTACGAGGATTACGCGCAGCAGAGCGAGCTGCAAGGGTAGTAAAGCTGCTGCTAGCCCGGGGGATCATAGGACGCGGTCGGGGAAGAGGTATTGATTTCTTCATTTCCTTGGACATGGGACCGTTTCCTTTTGTCTGCTCTAATCTGTAGCGCTAGTCTCTCTGGGCTGGCTATTCTTGGTAATACCGAGGCCTTCATTTCACTGTGGTATACCGTTTTTCACAATATTTTTGTTTGTAACTTATTCACGTGTATTTTATTCCACCATCCAACGCCTTTCCTATTGTCACATCATGGCATAGCGGCGAATGTCCACAAGGACGAACAACTGGTAAGAAGGCAATCGGAGCACGGGGATATTTAAGGAAGTTGAATGGAACCAATACTGTACATTCCTGCCAGCCCTCAGCCCACCATCGATATCGCTGGCTTAGCATCACTTCCCGAATGAGGAAGAAAGAGCAATGGCCTAGGGCCCCGGCTGACCAATGATGCCACAAAATCAGAACCATATCACGTGCGCCAACGCGTCCTGTTTAAATTCAGACACCACGAGCCACACAAGTTCGACTTCAACCACACCCCCATCCACTGAGTCGCGCGCGACAGCCTTCCGCCTCCCCCACCCTTTTCAACCACAAGCCCCCAGCTTTCCCGACGTTCGAGCCACTTCATGCCCCCGCCACTATCCAACAAGACCAACAGAGGCTACGTGCCTTTACCCGTTTGTCCCGCCTCCAGCAAATTTCGACCTCCATCGGACAGGCATAAGGAGAACGACGGGAAGGGTTGTCATGCCTCGCGTGTTTCTGAAGATGATTCCGACGCCCCCGAGCCATTCTTCGCTCCCCAGGGCGAGAGCGTCAAGTATTTCGCGAAAACGCGTCCTGCCCCGCTCCTGAGGGAGCTGCCGTCCCTCAAGAAGCTAGATTTTCATACTGACTTGTTTTTCCCCCTCTCTCCGGCAAAACACGTGCTGCTGAAGTCCAGGCTTCTTGAATTCAACAGAAAGGTGGCGAGAGTCCTGTTCCGGACCTGGATTGTTAGCGTTCTCGAAAAGAAGGGGATGGGATATAGAGTAAGTGCTCGTGCCCTACTCCTGCCACCGAGGCTCAACCTCTCATCTTTCCAGGAGTGGCGTATATACGTCCAGTGCCACAAGGCTTTGACGGCCTGCAGTGACATAAACAAAGTATGTCGTACGCCACTGGACTACATCGAGCTCTACTGACGATCGGAAAGAACAATCTCCCGCCCAAGAGCCTGGAGAAGTTCCGGCTAATGGGCGTCGAGCCCGAGGATTTTAATGACGAAGCCTGGATGCCAGGCGCCTTCGAGGCTCCTACCCTGATCTCGAAACTGATGTTTGAATAGCGGAAGGAGCGGCTGGTCCGCAAGTTAGTCGCCGCTTTCCTGGTCGGTGTCGAGAAGCAGGCTGAGGAGCGCGAGCGCCTGGCGGACTGCGAAGAAGTCGTAGTTGATGCTGAAGATGATACAGCGGACGGCGACGGTGAGGTGCAGATCGCAGATAAAGCCATCGGTAACGACGATCCCATCGATGCCCCGGAGGCCCTCGAAGATGCCACAGAGAAACCCGGCCGCCCCGATGAGTTTTCTGAGGAACCACCGACTGTCTCCCTCGAAGAGGGCAATGCCGCCCGTTCCCCTGCCGTGGCTACGGGAGGCTCCCTCCCATCTTCACCGTCGCCTGCCCGAAGCTCGCCGTTCCGCGAGCTTGGCAACCTTTCGCCTTTGAAGCCAGTGGACGACGTCCTCGCGCGTTCTGCCGAGGAGATTGGCGTGCTGACCACAGAGGATGCGGAAGGCCCGGCGCAAGACACTTCAGCGACGCCGACCGT